TCAGGAGAAGTTAAGAGGCCACGAAACTAAGACCATTAGATCAACACAAGTTTCTAGTCACCAGCTGATGATTCAAGGTGCTGTTTGTGTATTTCTGATTCATCAGGTTTCCAGAAGACCTTTAATGAATCCATGAAAGAACCAAAGAGCCCGATTGTGTTTCTGTGACAGATCCACACGTGTTTCACTGGTTCCATCATAACTTATCATCCAAACTTGTAGTTCTAGGAGGACATACTCGCTCTCTACAGGTGGACCTTTGATCACCACCGTTCATGTCATTGTTTAGGTTGCACATGTGATGGAACATCTTGTTTCTGGAAGCTGTGTGTTCGCCCCAGTTTGTGCTTCTTCACAAGCATCACATCCAGCGCCGTCAACTCACCGGACTCACACACTGCCAGATTAAAGCAGCTGCAGGTTTAGCGAGACGCGATTCTGCCCTGAACACCACAGAGCAACATCTGACCAAACCATAGAAATATTATCAACGCCGTTGTTGAACAAGGACTCCACTGCAGCTGCTTAAGGAGAGTCTCAGCAGATCATTAAACCGTCGTTCCTGTTGTTGTTGTTGACATAACGAGACTGAATGAACTCAAATGTGAAAAACGTGATGCTGAACATCAGACGCACCAACTGGGGCGACGTCGGTTGTGCTTTTCATGACCTCCCTCTGAAGGATAACTCCAGTGTCACATCGGTGTTTCTCTCACGTTTCTAGTCATGGGTTGGTTCCCTCTGAGGCTGACAGTGAACTCGAAACTAAATGAAAGGTGGTGTTTTTGCTCAGGTACAATAGTGAGTTTATGACCAAAAGCAAACAAAAGAAGAAGAAAAACATTTGGCTTCATTGTCTGTCAGATGCTTGACTCTTCATCTTCACATCCGGTTGCATGACGTGGATTTTTGGTTTGGATCATTTAACGTCTTGTACAGTCCTATATATGAAATCATAGACGTGCGGCGTCATATTCTACGGTTGAGAACATGTTAAACTCAGTTTAGAGTACGACATCCTGCCAGCTGAACAGCTTTCTTGAGAACATTTCCAAATTCCTGAAGCCAAATCTTCTCGCGTCGTTCTCTGCTTCACAGTCACGGCGTTGGATCGCGTGTCTGTTGACATATTAGATCAACCAGAACATCTGACCGACACTGGAACTGCTGTGATGCAAAATGAAGACACACTGGGATTATCCTTCAGCTAAAATGCTCATATTTGTACTGCTGGGTGATGATAGTGGAGATAAAGGCTTGTTCTCTCAGTCCGTCGCCCTGCTCCTGCTCTCATGCTTTCTACAAGTGAACTAGCTCATTGCAGAGCCGCTGATAGGCGAGTGTTACCGCCGCTGTCCTACCACTGCCACGTCTTACAAACAACAAACCCCAAATTCTCCTCGTTTATTGTGGTTTGATGAGTCTCAGTGTCGTTTAAGTGACCCTGCAGGAACTAAAAATTGTCGTCTTTAACCAAAATGTGTCCAAAATCCACCGTTAAGCCACCGTTGGGTCGCTTAACATCTGGAATATGTGTAAAAAAACAAAACAAAACTCCAGCAGAAGCCCCGAGTTATGCAAGTTTGCACAAATACAGTCACAGGGTAGCAAACGCAACACGTTTTGCAAAGCTTCGGTCACAATCCTCCAAACGGTCCATGACAACGTGGAGCCGCCACATCAGGATGATCGTGGCAGCTGTTCCAGATGTGACCCGCCACGGTCCCACATGAGCCCCAGAACCAGGCGCTGCCGGCATCACGACGCCACGCTGCACAACACAGCTGATGTGTGCGTTGATTTGGGCCGAATCTGGTTCACTGCTTGTGCAAAAGTTAGCCTTTCACGCTAACTGGGATGTGATCCGTTGTCTTTCCAACAACTAAAGCAGGATTTTGGTGACACAAACAAAACAAACTGAACTCATGTCCTGCCAGTCTCATGCAGCAGCAGATTTACTGTCAAATGACACCAACAAAGCTGTTTCTGTAGGTTTTTTTGACAAAACAACTGTAGTCTTGCTTTGCTTACGTTAGCTCCTGCTAGCTGTATGAGCTAAATAGACGTTTCAACAACGAGACTTTATTCAGTCAAAGCCAAAATACAGTAACATCAGATCTGGTTAACGCTGAGCTGCCTTACAGTACATATACCTGCAGTACCTGAACGTTAGCTAGCTACAGCTAGCTGTTGAGAAAGACTTGGCAGCTCACTGAACCATTTGTTTCTTGTTTCTTGTCTTTAAAAAGGCTAATTAATGATCCAACATGTCAGTAACTTTGTTTTTGCATCACATAAACAAAACAAAAATATATCCCCAACAGAGTAAAAAGATAAAACCAGACAAACTAGTGCTGCGAATAGCTGGCTAGCCTAGCTTAGCAGAGTAGCAATAACTGCTGCCTCAGTTTGTAGTGAAATACCAAAATCAGATCTTTTCCCCACATTTTTCCGTCCATATATTGTTTTGTAATCAAACAAACAACAATACTGTTGTTAAATGAAATGTGGCTGCACTCTTGCTTGTTACAGCTAGCTAGTGAGCAAGCCTGAGCTACGGCTAAATGGGTCGTTTTTTTCTCTTTCTTGTATTTAAACAAAAATAATAATTTAATGCTTTAACATGTTAGCAACGTAGTTTCTATGTTGTACAAATAATTCAGCAATTAAATGTCATCTTTAAAAAGAAAAATAAAAGATCAACTCAGATAAATTAGCCCTGATGAAAGCCGGCTAGCCTAGCTTAGCCTAATAACAGCAACTGCTACCTGTGGTGAAATTATCTTTAAGTCATATATTTAAATGTTTTTAATTAAATATAAATTACCAGTTCCAGTTACCAAGAAATCTGACAGAAGAATATGTTTTGTTCGTAGACAGTTTTTTTTCTTTTTTTAATTTTAATGCTCCACGATCTGAACGAACACGTCAGTGGGTTTTCACACCATATTAAAGATGCAGCGTCTAAATCTACTGGTTTAACAGAAAAGGTTTGCTAGTTAGCCTAGCTTAGCATGCAGCCGTTGACTGAAATTCGTGTGATTTTATTTCATGAAACTATCTTTGAATCATAATTTAAACCCTTTTTTAATTAAAGATAAATGTAGTAATCTTTAGTTCATTAGTTCACATTTTTGCAGGGCCTTTATTGTTCCCAAACGTTAATGACCATGACGAACAATCAGCCCAAAAGAGGATAAAATTAAATTAAATAGTACTTACACAAAGAGCCTTCAAGCCATTTTTTCTCCCTGTTTCTGTAGTTAATGCTCTCTGACTTTGCTCTTCACAGTTTTCGTGATTTGAACGCACAACATTCAGATTCAGCCGTAATGTGCAAAACTGTATTTCTAATGACGTCCATCCAGCGTGGCGACGGCGCTCCTCGTCTATCAGCGGCTCTGCCTCACCTACACAACACCTTACCTACATAGTATCAGTGATCATTCTATTACTTGAATATAGTGCTATGAACTCTGTTTACAAAACGCTGTCAACTTTTGGGAGACACACGGTTGTCTTATCAAGGCTGCTTGGTTTGTTCAGTTCATCCACCTGGTGAATCCAGTTAATAACTCACTGAAACCGTATAAACATGAAACCTGCTGTTGCTTTTTTATACTGTATATGCCTTAATTCATATGTTTGGCAATCATGATTAAAGGATGTTTATATATATCTTTTGTCTGGAGAGTTTTTTCTATGAATATTTCTACAGTGTATTAACTGACAGCATGTTTAATTCTGTGTCGAACATGAATATATACTTAATATATATATATTTGTTGACTTTAAAATATATATTTAAATAAATATATAAATAAACAAATATAAATAAATGGGACTATGTGCTAAATGAGCCAATTGAATAAGTTCCTTTTTTTCTTTTTCAAAGACTACTTTTATTTATTTTCGGTTTTTTTTTATTTAGCAATACCACGTTTAATTATTTCAGGATATGCTTCATAGACATATTTATTTATTTTCTGGGGACATTTATTCATTTATTTATGACTAAGTAAATAAATTGCAGGCTTTATGTGAGTATTTCTGACACACTTTTACCAGAGTGACCATGAAGAGATCTTTGAAATGCATTTGCTGTTTGTTTGTTTATTTACTATATTGACCAGGTTGAAGTGTAAATAAAATTTCTGAATTAATTACTACCTATGGGGGGAAACAATACACTACAGCCCTCATCATACACATTATACTTGAACTAAATCAAGTTAGGAACAGTATGATATATCAGTAAACAACATCCTGTTAAATATGAACTTGAACGGTCTCAGTATTTAAATCAGTCAGATCAATCTGCATTATTAAGAATATTATGGTTTTACCTGTGACGGTTTGTTTTAGTTGAGTAAATATGTATTTTATTTAATTTTGTGCAGCGCCTTGACTTTAATGTTTAAACTTGACCAGTCTGTCTTTTTTGGCTTTCAGTGCTTTGATTATTTTACTTACATCTGTAGTCTTTGTCTTAATTGTTGTTACATCCTGGTTTTGATTAATCTGCCAAAAAAACAACTAGTTTTAAAAAGTGCTGCGATTATAATCAAATTAAATGATTTACAATTATTAATTAGTTCACATTTGATGTATAAGAATCTAGTAGAATGTAATTAAAAACTTTTCTTTTTAAGTCAATATAAGGAACTAAAGTCCAACAAAACAATAATAATTTGTACAGCTGCTCTGGCTGCAGTTCCGCCTCCCGCCACCAGAGGCCGCTGTCGGCTCCAGCGCTCACGTCACTTCCGGTTTGAAAACAAAATGGGTGGCGCCAAAGCTTGACAACAAAGCGGCTGTTTGCTGCCTGTAACCGACAGTTAGCGTCGCTTCCACAAAACTAAACACGGCTTCTTCTCCAGCGGTTCCGGATTCAACGAGAAGAAAAGAAAAGTTCGGATTAAAGTTTTAGGGTTTTTTTTGTTTGTTTTTTTTGGTTCGAGCTGCACAAATGTCAACATGGCTGCGAAGAGCGACCAACTTCTCATCGTTGTGTCCATCCTGGAAGGTGAGCTTCCTGAATGAGTGGAGAACAGCCTTCTGAAGTGGTTTGTTTTAAGGAATATTTCACCGATTTGTGCTTTTATTGAATGTGTTTGACTGTGAAGCCGCTAAATCCGCATCAGGTGGACTCAGAGCGTCAACATTCAACTTTTCTCTCTCTGAATGTGCAGTTTTTTAAAGGCAAAGTTAATTAATACCCAGTAAAAGTGATATTTTACAGTTAATCACGCATGTAAACAAGTGTGTGTTTAGTCAGTCTGAACGAGTCGATCGACAGGCAGAGTAATCGATCGAGCGACGTCAGTTCATTTCTGTGGCGTCTTGTTGTGCAGAGGAGCTGCTCGTTAGTTAGAATCATCTAGTTAAAGATTAAAACAAATAAACACAACGTGGAAGAGATGAAACACAAGACAGGACTCAAGAAAATCAAGTTTAATAAAAAATAGATCAAAGACAGAACAGACGAGTTGAGCAAAGTGCACATCGATCGATTTAAAGGAGTGATGGACTAAAACACACAAACACATCTGGATCCTTTTAAATCTCTTTAGAACAGTTGTCCTTGTGAAAGCTTTTTAGGTTGTTTGATTAATGTTCTGTTTTATTTATTAAACTTTCTCTGGGCTCATGGCTCAGCTCAGGTTTATTACAATTTTTGTTTAACACTTTTTAACATTAAGTAAAGCGTTATTATCATATATAACATATTATTATCACATTTAAGTTCTAGTTTTAACCACACTGAGGAAGATAGAAGTAGTTTTTGTTTATTTGCTGCTGTTATGACTCAGACTTGTTGACTACCAGCCAACTATAAATCATTTCTGCATTCGACTTGTGATTTAGAGCATCTACAAGGTTTGAAAAATCTCTAAAGCAGTAAGTCCAGAGGTCTGTGCTCACTGGGTTTTTAGAAGTTTAACATTTCATCAACAAGAGGGCTGATAATCAATTGATCTGATTGATTAAACATCAAAAAATGGTGAGAAACGATGAGGAATGTTTGTTTTGTCCACAACCACAGAATATCAGTTTACTGTCAAAGAGGAGGAAGAAAAACAGAAATTAATGATTAATGAGCTGTAAGAAGCTGGAGTCAGACACTTTTTGAATACTATAATAGTAAAATGTCAGTAAAACGTGATTTTGAGGTGTATCTGTGCCCATCGGTAGCTTTCATTAGTATAACCTGAATAACAAATGTGTTAAATATGGACCTTTGTGGTGAAACGTCTTGAGTTTATTCGTTAAATGACAGTGACTCTTTAAGTGCAGACTGGTTGAGCTGCCGCCATCAGGAGAATGAAACTCTGCTCGCTTCGGCAGGTCGCCACTTCCCCAAGAGTCCTCGGCTCAGCCTGGTGGTTCAGGCGAGCTTCGACGGCGAGCAGCTCTCCACGGATCCGGTGGAGCATCGAGAGCAGCCGCAGTTCAGCACCGAGCTGGCCTGGGAGCTGGACCGCCGCATGCTGCACCAACACAGGTGTGACGCCCAGCGAGATAGAACAAGACACAGTTGCTTCATCTTTCTCTTTATTCCTTTTGTTTGACGCCTGCAAGGCTTTAAGATTATTTTGATCAACACAAGAGCTCCTTTTAGATCTGCTCAGACAGTACAACTGACTGCAGTGCTGCAACTCGTGATTATTTTGATGATGCATTTATCTGCTTGTTATTTTTTCCATTAATTGTGACTTTAATGGGACACTGGACCACAATGCAAAGTGATGATTACTAACTACACAGAGCCCAGAGGGACGTCCTCACATCTGACTTTCCCTGAATACCAGTCAGAATCCCAGACATGTGCAGTTACTGTAATGTTAAAACAAGGAGAAATGGAAAATTCAAATTCAAATATTTGACTTTTGCTGAAAAGATCCCATTCAATGGACGTTATTTAAAGGTGAAAATGTTTTGTTTTCTTGATAAATCACTTGTAGACGTCAGGTTATATTGCACAAACCAAACTATCATCTTTTCACCCGACAGCGTGTTTTTATTTCCATATGACGCTGATGCATCCTTCTGTCCTCTCAGACTGCAGAGAACTCCGATAAAGCTCCAGTGTTTTGCCGTCGACTCCGTCAGCCAGAGGAGGGAGAACGTCGGCTACATCGTCCTCGACCTGCGATCCGTTCAGGAGGCCAAACAGGTGAGCGTCCTCTCCGATGTTTCAGAGCGACGCCCGGCTTCTGTTCACTCATTAAAGTGTGGCGTGTTTCAGGAGCCTCGCTGGTTTCCGCTGCTGAGCAGTAAATACACCAAACAGAGGCCGGCTCTTCTGCTCAGCATGCAGCTGGAGAACGACACCAAACCGTCCGAACCCTCACCGGACAGGTTCAGAGCCAAGAAGGCTCCTCCCCGACAAGGTCAGCAGCTCCTCCTCTCACTTCTGACGTTGCTGTTTATACTCTGACTTAACAGCATCCACTGGCTGCACCGACTGTTGAGCTTCATGCTTTTCTACAAGCTAAACAGGGTTTTGAAGCCCTCCTCCTCCTCACACTCGACTCTGCTTACTGCGCTGTAGTGCCTTTTAGCGCCACCAGGTGGAGCCTCTTGCTGGTTAACGGGGTGGAGTTACAGGTGTGTTTGCTGATTGCCCATAAAACTAGCGCACCTCCCTGCTGTCTGACTGACGACTGTGTTGACGAACTCTGCAGCATCCAGTCGTATGAAGCCTTCTGTCTGGTTTAGCTAGCTACCCGAGGCTCATGCTAACGCTAAGCTGGGATCTTCAAATGCTAACACATTCAGAAGCAGCAGGTTACAAACTGAAGTGCTGAACCTCAGACACTCTGCTCTGAGTGTAAACACGTCTCAGAGGAGGCAGTAATCGATGACAGATTTCCTGAAGCTGCTGCAACAGCATTTGTGCACATCTGGTCCAGCTCACGCACAGCTGGATTAACTAGTGAACATCATGTCGATCAGCTGTGAGGATTATTCTGACATTAACGCCTTTACGGGTGTTTTATTGCTGAATATTTCATTAATATTTCAGAAACCTGATGATTGTTTTATCTGTTGTTAAACTCTTTATGTAGCCGAGTCGCCGCTGTGGTGATCTGTTTGGATTATTTACTGTTTGACTGTCGGTTGTGCAAACTGTTGAGATTTTGCATCTAAGGCTTAAATACAGCTTTGCTCGGCAGACAATCATGTCTGAGAGTGAGAGGCTCTGCTTTACCAGCCCACTGTGTGTTAAAGGGAAGGTTTTCAGTAGAACTGGTTCTGTCTGAGGAGGGCTGAAAAGCTTTCAATCATGATGGCGGCTTTCAGTCCACGCTGAGGTGATCTGCGTTAGCATCCCAGCCTCTGTTCGACCTGTTGGGTGTCCTGCTCCTCAGAGCTTTTCCTTCCTCCTGATCCGATCTGCCACCGACACCGCTCCAGGTTTACAGTGTCGTGTTCTGTCTGCGTTGTTTTGTACCGACTCAGACTCAACACAAACTTTAATTTCTGGTTGGAGATCGAACCTTTGCAATAGCAGCTCCAAGAGTTTCCTCTTTCAATCAAATGTTCCTCGTTTATTTATTTCAAGACAAGCACTCAGACGTGTTCTCAGTAGCTTTTGGCTGCTGTTAATGGTTTTCATGTTTCATATTTATTTATTTTTTTAGAAATTGATCCTACTCGTTTCCATCCTGTTTTGGTGTTTCATTCTGTTTTATTTAGTTGAGCGATGTCGTTTTATCCTGTCTTCATGTTTTACTCATAACTTATTTGCTGCCTGTTTGACAACATGTGCAGCAGCTCCTTTCACACGTGACTCTGTTGTGTATAAATCAGATTTTTTGTGTCTAACCCGTTGGCCCTCCTGCTCTGCTGCAGGCTCCCCGTCGGTGGCCGACCTGCTCCCAGACAGACTGGAGGCCGTGCTGGTTCCAGACCAGGGCTACCATCAGCTGGGACCTGCAGACCGCTGCGCCGACATGTTCGTCCTGTCCGTCACCGTGGCCTTCGCCACCAAACTGGAGCAGGTAAACACCAGCGCTGGTGTTATTGCTGCAGATAACGTTTCCAGCATGACGTCGCCTCCAGATAATTCCAACATCTGGAATCGAGTCTGATAACAGAAAACGCTTCTTTGTTTTTCTTTCTCGGAAACTTTCTGCTCTCACTTTTTCCACGTAGCGATAAACCCGACCGGCTGCTCTGAGGGCATCTGAGGAGAGTTAAAGACAGTGAAGTTTTCTCAGAACGACGTCTCAGCTGGTTATTGTCTGAACATTATTGCTTCGTCTCATAACGGCGTCGGTGTCGACTGTCGTCCTCCTGAGTGTCATTAGACGACAACGTCTCACTATCAAATGAAACCAATCTGTTCTGTCTATGCTGCAGTCACAAGTCAGCCAGAGACAGTCTGCAGGGACGTGTCTCTCCGTTAAGAGCCTCTCATTCAAAATGTGATTTAAAACATGGTGCGTAATTATTTTTTTTAATTCGTAAAGCACTTTTTTAATGTAGCTGCGGAAAGATTAGTTGTCAAAAGGCAGTTCTCATATGTGTCAAGCCATTAATTCAGGTAGAAATGTGAATATTTTAAGAATATTTGATGCTTTCAGCCTCTTAAACGAGACAAAAAGCTGATTTTATTCTGATTTTTTTCCAATCAATAAATGATATTCCCTGGAAAGTGCAAAAGTCGACTGACTTTTTTATTTTTGTTGAAGACTCTGACTGTTTGAGTTCCCTATCGACTGATCAAAAAGGCAGTTTTAGTTGCTGCATACTTACCTGAGAACCAGGGATCCTCATGTTCATCAGCTAATCGATTAGCATTATATTAATTAATGATTTAACTGATTAAAAATAAATTAACCAAGTCAGCTAAGGTATCGTAGACCAGCTGCAGTACCTGGTTGTTCCACCAGGTGGCGCCTCTGCCTGTACGTGACTGTATCCGGACACAGAATGATGTTTGTTCAGTTCACTTTGTGTGATCGATGATGGGTTATTGATTGACAACGCTGCTGATAATCGGTCAAGAAAGTTGTTCAAAGTTACTTATTGAGAAGCTTCAAAAAGCTTTAAAAGTTTTAATCACGTCTCCATGAACCTGAAAATAAAACAGAATAATGTAACATGGTCGTGTAGAGCGTAAGCCTCCACATGACGACAGCTCAGTCTTTAGATTCTATGTTTGTCGGTCCTGTGATGAATCAGGAAGATTAGATTTTAGTTATCTGAGGACACCACGACCTCATAAACGTGTGAATCATACAGTAAACATGATGAAACTTGATACCAGTGGATAAAACTGACAGATCCTGTCTCCAGTAGAGGTTTCTAAGAAGTTCGTTAGAACCAACGACCTGACCGGCTGTGTTCTCTTTGCTCCTGCAGTTGATCCCCAGCACCATGAAGCTGTCGGCGCAGGGCTCAGGGTTCTTCTTCTACTACTCTCTGCTGGGCAACGACATCACCAGCGAGCCTTTCCACAACCTGCTGAGTCCCGACTTCGAGCCGGAGCGCGCCTCCGTGCGCATCCGCAGCAGCAAGCAGGTCCTGCAGGGCTTCCTGTCTCAGCAGCCCAGCTTACAGGTGAGAATAAAACGTCCTCATTGCCGCCTGTCGCCGGTCCGTTCCCTGCTGTAATCCTGGTGTCGGCCCTCCTCAGATCCACCTGTGCTGTGGGAACCACTCCCTGGGCAGCACCGACGTCTCCCTCTCGGCTCTGTCGGCCGTTGCCGTGGACCTGGAGGACAAGGCGGCCACGGTGGAGGGAGCGTTCGTACTGCAGCCTCCAAAGCGCACCAAGCAGAAGCTGCCGGCCGTTCCCGCCGAGCTGCAGCCGACTGTAGGAGTCGCCGTCACGCTGAGGAGGGAGGAGGTCCCGCCTCAGGTACACACGGGTATCCGGAGTCGGGATGTTTATGATTATTGGTTCATCGATTAATAATTACCGTAAATTCCGGACTATTGAGCCACCTGAATATAAGCCACACCCACTAACTAAAAAGAAAACCAGTTTCTACATATACAGGCTGCTCTGGTCTCTAAGCTGCAGGTGTCCACGTTGGAACATGAGATATTTACACAGAAAGATGTTTTAAACTTTTAATTAAATACGTCCTGGTAACATACACAAATACGTAGATGCTTTTTTCTGAACAGTTCCTGTAACTCAGCTGGTTAAGGAAATAAAACTCCAGCAGCTACCAGGAAAAGTCACTGATGGCTATCTTCATCTTCCTCCTGCACTAAAACCACTAAAGTCGTCTTCTTCAGTGTCTTCAGGAGCTGAACAGCCTCAGAATCACTTCGTCACTTCCTCAGTCTCTCTGTCGTCGTCGCTCTCAGCCTCACTTTGGTCTCGAGGCAAATTCGTAAAAATCCATAAATTAGCCGCATCGTTGTTTAAGCCGCAGAGTTCAAAGGGTGTGAACAGAGTAGCGGCGTATAGTCCGGATATTATGGTATTAATAATTTAACAGATTAAAAATGTATTAACCAATCAGCAAGAAGACGAAAGACATTCATGTCAGTTAACGTATCATAGACCAGCTGCAGTACCTGGTTGTTCCACCAGGTGGAGCCTCTTCCTGTTTAATCCTGTAGAGACCAGAGGAGGCGTCACTCAGACTACAGCTCATGGTGGCAGCAGAGAGCATTGTGGGAGTTTAGCAGCAACGGGACCATGACAGAGACTCTGAGGAGGTTCATGAGCTCCGACCAGAGTTCTTGGATTGACTGGGACCAGTAACTGAGCTGCATTCATGGCCGATGTGTGTCCGTTGACAAACATATCATGATCAGCACGGAGACTGTGTGTGTTTGGTTATTGATTAGTAGCGCTGCTGATTATCGGTTTTCAAAAAAAAAAACCAAAAAAACATAAATGAAGTAGGAAATGTTCTGAACTGTGCGTGAACTGGCTGGAATGACCCATCTGTTAAATTTAATGTGTTGAATACTTTCTGAGATTAACTTTTTTTTTTTTAAGTTTGCTTTAGGTTAACTCAAATGTCAATGTGCGAAAAAAAAAAAAAAAGTCATCTCAGAAAATATGTGATAGACATATCTAAGAGTTCTTCGATATCTTTAGGGATATACTGACTTTATGCTATAAATTTTTTCAGACAAATCAAAGAGAACTTGTTCAACAAATGAGATGATTTGAAGGAACGACCTGTGAAGAATTATTGTTTTGTAGTTTAATATTTATGTCGGTAAATCCACGTTCTTAGTCGAGCTTGTAAGGCTTTTTGTCGTCATTTTTCTCAAAGTTGGAGTTTTGTTTTCTTCTGTCTGTCACCAGTCTGTCGGGAATAAAGAAGTCAGTGGAGCTCCTTCACACTCGGTTCCTCCTCCTGCTGCTCAACAAAGACCTGGAAGCTCCTCTCCGGTCCAGAAGCCTCCCGACTCTCCTCCTGCTGCTGCTGCTGCTGCTCCTCGTCCTCCTCCTCTGTCCTCCCACACGGAGAGCGAAGCCGAGAGTCTGCTGGAGGAGCTTCAGCGAGCCGGAGATCAGGTGGAGCTGGCAGGTGAGGGCTCAGACCACCACGGATCATCTCCAGGTGTTCGGTTCCACAGCTGAAGGTGTTGTTGTCTGTCCAGCTGCAGACCCGGAGGTTCTGGAGGTTCCGGCCGCGCCGCCTCGTCCTCCCGAAGCTGAAGGCGGAGCTTCGTCCGTCAGCGTTTCTGCTCCCAAGGTGTCCATCCCTCCCTCGGCCCACCACTACTGCTTCTCTCTGGACCTCCGCAGCCTCAGGAACCTCGGTTTGACTCATCCGGTCGCCGCTACGCTCAGGTGAGGCGCTGCTTCAGCTCCCAGACGTTGGACCGAGTCAAGGCTTCAACCGGTCACCCTCATGTGTTAAATTACTTCAGTCTTGTCTTGTCAAAGCAAGTCGTTGCCATCTTACAGCATGCACAGATAGAATACGTACAAGAACCGATCCAGAAGATGTAAAACGTTCTCCAAGGTGATGAACTCACCCATCAAGTCCGCTACAGACTGTGTTGATAAACTGGAGCTCTTATGAAGGCACGGTTTGATTTTTAAGCAGGTTTTTTTCTCTTTAAATCATAAATTAAACCTCTTACTTGGACGCATCCTCACTTTCCTTTCAGCGTCTAAATCCTCTGGAGAACATCTTAAGCTCAGGTTTCTCAGAAGCTCCTGTCGGTTCAGATAATGTTTTACCGAGAAGCTTCACTGCAAAAACACGATACGATAACACAATGTAATGAGCTTTTATTAACCTTAAAGTGGGGAAATGTGCATTGATTCAGCAGCAAAGAGGGAAAACATAAAAATAAACCAAATAAAAACACAAGTTCTAGTTCAGATTGTTGTGTAAATAACAATCATGCACACATTCTGATTCCCAACAGCCTCCTGATGGTAAACATAAAAGGCAGAACGGAGCTGATTCGTCCAGTTTTTGCAGCACAGCTCGGTGGTTTTGATACGATCCTGATCCTTAATCTCTGTGCGTTTGCCGTGCTCCAGATATTCGTACCAGTTCTTCGGCAGCGCGGCGCCCATCATGACCAACCCTCCCGTGGAGCTGCAGAGGAACACGGAGGTTTCTCTGCCTCAGTCCTACTGCGCCTTCGACTTCGCCGCCCTGCCGCAGCAGCTCCAGGACACCTTCACCAGGTAGGAACGCCTCCATCGCCTGACCGCACGGGTTCTTCAGGTGGTCCACTTCACCGAGGGAGGTTTACTAAAGACTTGAGAAGTGTTTTTTAGCCCGGTCGTTGTTTTCCTGTGTTCTACCTCCGTGTGGTCCAGGTTTCCTCTGGTGGTGGAGGTCTGGCACCGAGACTCCTCCAGCCGGGACCAGCTGATCGGCCGAGCCTCTGTCCAGCTGTCCCGCCTGCTGAGTTCTGAAAGGACCCGGTTCTTGGGATCCGCCGGAGAGCCGAGCTGGAGACGGACCCACCGGGACCGGATCCCCGTGGTCCACAGCCAGCGGTAGGAGGCGGCTCCGACTCACTGATCCCAGACTGGTGCTGTTGAAGCAGCGCTTTCTGTAAATGCGTTCACAGATATGAGTAGATCACAAGTAAATAGATCAGAGTGTTTGTGCTGGAAACAGAGAAATCACCAGTTACAGGTCAAACAGGCCTCACAGCTGGCCGTCAGGGTTTCTGTGCCCTGAGCTCAGGCTCACAGGCTCGTTCATTCTGGTAGTAGTCAGTAGTTATGTCGCCTGCAAACCATCAGGCGGCGCTGTTCTCCAGAGTCTTTGAAGGCACGCGACGCTGTGGTCCAGATGTTGACTTTAACAGTAACAGATATTAAGTGTCATAATTTGGCAGTCAAGTCTAAAAATAGGCTGCAGGTGGATCAGTGGTTAGCATCGTCGCCTC